CTGCCTCTAAGGAAACATTAATTCCCTGACTTCCATTAGAAAGCTCTCTGTCCAACTTGCCAGAAAAGAGGGAGGAGGCAAGGAAGAAAGGCAAGAACAGAGGTGTAACTGCCTTGTTCACAGCAGTTCCCATTTCACAGACAAGTGCCCTTCCCAAAGTCTCCTGTTAGTTACCATGTAAGGCGAATCTCCTCGATCCCCTGGCACTGAGCGTGGGCTATATACCAGGCGTTGTGCTAGATGTGCATTACGTTATGGAGTCCTCAGAACCCATGAGGTTGTGTTCTTTCTTTATTCACGATAGGGCACATGCACGCACGTGTGAGACAGAGAGAGAGGTGCACCCTTCACAGGGCTGGTCCCCTATAAACCCCTTCCTTCAGTCTTCCAACCCATTGGATCCTGGGCAGGTGCACGGTGCACTTCAGGCTGACCAGGCCGGGGATTTGAAACGTGGTCAGACATGGGACCCAGCTCCGCTTGAGCAGCTCATTGTGACTGTGCCACAGAGCCAGCCCCTGTGCGGTCAATCTTATTCTTACATGGCAAGGAAAGAAAGAGACTTGGAGAGGGTAAGTAGTTTGCCCATGGCCACCCAGGAGAGTCAGGGCTGCAAACAGATTCTCCAGCCCACGCTCAGTGGCTATTGCAAGATGCTGCACTGTTTTGAGCAGTACATAGTTTTCCTTAGTAAACCACTGGATCCAGATTCCACATGGCTGACTGTGGCCCAAATCCCAGTGATGGAACTTCATTAATCCATTCTGCATCCAAAAATAGTGTGTATTTGCAAAAGGAGGGGAAAAAAAGAAAACAGTACTGCTAAAATATAATAAATTAATACAGAAAAACAAGGATATGGACTTTAAAAGTGCTCTGTTGTCTGGAATGAGAATCCATTATGGAAAGTGGCTTTATTGAGAAGAGGCTGTGGAGATGACTGGAGATGGAAGTACATAGCATCCACAATGAGGAGGATAGATTTTTTTTTAAAGAATTATTTTATTCAACTTTATTCATTTTTAATTTGATCAGAAATGGACAGAGTGAGAGAGAGAAAGAGAGAGGGAAAGTGAGAAAGCAAGCCACCAGGTCCAGGATTTGAACCACAGTTGACTGTGTGAGAGTCCAGTGCCCTTAACCAGCACACCACCTGCCAGTTCCCTGAGGAGGATAGATGCTTGCAGACTGAGGGCTTGCCATCCTGGATGGCAGTGTCTAGTTTCTTCTACAACTTGTGCCTTCTCCTTGAGATAGCAGTGTCAGAAGTTGCATGCATGAGAGAACTAGAAGAAACACTCCCCAACGGGGCCTGGTCATGCCATAGTCCTCCCCCCACCCCCAAGTTTCCATTCTGCAGGATCCAGGGCACATGCACAGTGTGTTTTCCACATGCACAAATCCCAGCTCCAGTAGCTAGAGAAGCACATTGGGCGCTTGTTTGTGTATGTTTCAAACCCTGATGGGATGGAGGAGTGGAAGAAAAGGGACTGGGCATGACCATGCCCCATTGGGGAACACTTTCTCTTTCTCTAGTGAGCAAGCACACATCCCTCTGGCAATGAAAGATATACACCCCACCCCTCAAAAAAATAAGCTGAGGTGACATTTTTAATATTGAGTTGTCAGAAAAGTTATGATTTTTTTTTCTGTTTTTCTATGCAAAAATGCATCATGACTTTTCTGACAACCCAAATATAAAGTGACATTTATGGGGCTTTATCAGTGAGACAGGCGAGCAGGCAGCTGCATGCGTTCTTTTCCCAAAGGGTAGAGCTGGTAAGAAGTAAGGATAATGAGGCCCACACTCCTCTCCACTGGCCTCAGAGAACTCACTGCCAGGAAAGCAGCTTCCAGGTATGTGAGGGCACTGGTGGGTGAGAGGCATCTCAACCACGGGATGTTCTCTGATTTTACTAATTTCCCCAAACAACCTCATCCAGGTTCGCGGCTTTACATCATCCACATGTGGGTAGATTCTGGCTGTGCGCGGATTTCTAGGATCACACACGCAGTGCCACTTTGATATCATCCCATGAATCTTACTCCCACGCACCCCCTGTCTGTTCCTCCTTTAGACCTTCTCTTTCGAAGTCAAGGGCACCACCTTCCAAGGCAAAAACTTAGGAGCCACCCAGATTCCTCTTTCTTTCATTCCCCACAATCAGTTCATCAGCAAGACTAACGTAAACCTGCACTCCTGACCCTGGCAGGCAGCCCTGCCTCTCTCCCCCTGAGTCTCTTGTGCCCTGCTTTTCACTCACTGTACTCCAACCTTCCCTCTGTTCCTTAAACATGTCAACATCACCTCCAGCTCAGGGATTCTGCATGTGCTGTTCCCTCTGTCTGGAGCACCATTTCCCAACTCACTGCAGAGCTTGCGACTTCTAGTTCTTTAGGACTCAGAGCGAACGTCAGCTCCTCGGAGAGTCCTTCCTAACCTCCCGGTGCAGTTTCTCTCTAGGTTATCCTCAGTCACATCGCTTGATTCCTCTTCTTCATAGTGCCGTCTCGTTTATTTACTTGTTACCCATGTTTCTATTGCCTGTCTCCACTTAGTAAGCTCTGTTAGGAATTCTTTTCTTAAAAAAGAATTATTTTATTTAACTTTATTTATTTATTTTAATTTGACCAGAGAGGGACAGGGAGAGAGAAAGTGAGAAAGCAAGCCACCAGGTCCAGGACTCGAACCGTAGTCGGCCATGTGGGAGTCCAGCGCCCTTAACCACCACGCCACTTGCCAGCCCCCCGTTAGGGATTTTTATTTACCATTGCCCCTAACAGAGAACCTAGTACATTGCATAAATTAAAAAATGAATGAATAAAGGAGAAAGTTGCATGTTTCAAAATTCGAAAAATGTATCTCTAGGACAAGTCCATGGGCTAGTAGTTAAGGGAGATAGATTTGTGGTTTGAATCCCAGCCCCAGCAACTTGAAAAACACACTGGGTGTGTATACGTGCATACCCAAAATACTAACAAGGACAGAGAAATGGAGAAGGGACTGCACTATGACCACACTGCATTGTGGGGTGCTTTCTCCCTCTCCCTCTCCCTCTCCCTCTCTCTCTCTCTCTCTCTCTGTGTGTGTGTGTGTGTGTGTGTGTGTGTGTGTGTGTGTGTGTGTCTTTGTGTCTCTCTTTAGTGAGCACATATAACATCTGGCAATTTAAAAAATTCATCTACTTCATCTCTAAAGAGTCGGGGGCCAGCAGATGACGTAATGGTTATGTGACTGGACTCCCACATAGTTGACCGTGGTTCAAGTCTCAGTTCAGCAGCCTAAAACTCACCTGGGGGCATGTGCGTGCATCCCCAAGATCCCAAGAGGAGAATGGAGAAGGGATTATAGCGTGGACATCCTCCCCCGGGGAGGGTGTGATTTCTCGCTTTCTGTCTCTCTGTCTTTCTCTGTCTGTCGGGCAAGTACACGTGCCCTATAGCAAAAAATCTCTCTAAAAAAAAGGAAAAAAGAAAAAGAGTCAAGTTTTTACATCAATTATAAGGTTGAGGGTAAATGCATTTGTTGATCATACAACCTTAAATAGATATTCTGGGAGAGGAAAATTGTTTAGGAAGAAACCAGAATTAGATAAACAATTCCCAGCCCAGGCATGGAAAAGCCAGCACATGATCAGCTCCTGACCAGTATGAGATTTTCTAGAGATTAGAAGTCTTTTTCTTGGGGGGAGAGGTTTTTGCTATAGGGTCCATACGCTTGCCAGAAAGACAGAAAGAGACACGAGAGACAGAAAGCGAGAAATCATCCCCCAGGGGGATGACCACGCCGCAGTTCCTTCTCCTCCATTCTCCTCTCGGGATCTTGAGCATGCACACACATGTGCCCAGCGTGAGTTTAAGCCACCAGGTCTGGGATGCGAACCGCAGTCAACTATATGGGAGTCCAGCAACATAGCCATTAGGCCAGTTGCTGGTCCCAGATGTCTTAGGAGGAAATTTGATGCATATGAATATTATAAATTTGTGTAACAAATAATAGCTACTCTGCATGGAGTCTCTCCTATGTGACAGGTACTATGTTAAATACTTTGTAAGAACCGTTTTGACTACATTTACAGAAAAAAAAAACTTGTTTAAGGTAAGTACTATTGGGTCATTGGAAAAGTCATGACATATTTTTCTATGCAAAAATGCATCAAGACTTTTCCAATGACCCAATATTATTAGCCCACTTTACAGTTGAGAAATGTGTGGTTTAGAGAAGTAACTTTTGGGACCAGCAGATGGTGTAATGGTTATGTTGCTGGACTCCCACATAGTTCGGCGCAGTTTAACTCCCGACCCAGCAGCTTAAAACTCACACCGAGTATGTGTGTGTGCATGCCCAAAATCCCAAGAGGAGAATGGAAAAGTGTGGCCATCCCCCCAGGGGATGATTTCTTGCTTTCTGTCTCTCTGTCTCTCTGGTGAACACACACACCCTATAGCAAAAATCTCTCTCTCTCAAAAAAAAAAAAAAGAGAAGTAACTTTCTAGCTGGAACTCAAATTCAGGCCAGACTGATCCCAGAGCCTGTAATTTTGCTGTCCTGCATACTTCGCCAGATGTCTTTCTTTTCCTAGAGACAGGGTCTCCTATGTTGCCTAGACCAGTCTTGAACTCGCAATGCTCCTGCCTTAGCCCCCTGAGTTGCAGGGATCACAGTCCTGCACCACAGCTGCCAGCTGCACTGATAGATTTCTAACGATGCCGTGGGATGAGCAGGGTAAGCACTTCAACTGTGTTCCAGCTAAGGAAGCTTACGTTCGGAAATATTGAGTGTCTTGCCTATGATCAGCCAGCTCGTCTGTGGAGGCCTGGAATGATCAGAGTCCAGGTCCTTTGGACTTAATCCTCAGAACTCAATCTACTGTCGTTTACAGACTCTCTTGGGACAGGAGGTGAGACTAGGCAGGATGATCGTGCCATGGGCTCTTAGAGGCCAAGGGAGGGGAAAGGATGTTGCATGGGAGGAAAAACTGGTATTTCTTCTCCCTCAGGCTTTCCTGGAGAAGTACGGATATCTCAGTGACCAGGTGCCCAAAGCCCCCACCTCTGCTCAATTCAACAATGCCATCAGGTAGGATGGAGGGAAGTGGCGACTTGAGGGTGCTGGGATGCAAAGCTCTAGAGTCTCTTCTCTTTTCCTCACTCCTCCTAGGAGGCTAGATAGCTAACCGCCAGGAAGGCAGGCCTCCCTGCCCTCACCCCTACCATCCACCCTCCCTTTGTGATCATTTACTTTGATTTCTCCTGCCAGAGAGTTCCAGTGGGTGTCCCAGCTGCCCATCAGTGGTGTATTGGACCGCACCACCCTGCACCAGATGGCTCGTCCCCGCTGTGGCGTTGCAGATACTGACAGCCATGCAGCCTGGACTGAGAGGATCAGTGCCCTTTTCGCTGGACGCCAGGCAAAACTGAGGCGTAAGAAACGCTTTTCAAAGCAAGGTGAGCCTGTTAAAATCCAGCTGAGCTTGGGGCCAGCAGGTGGCATGGTGGTTGAGGCACTGGACTCTCACATGGCTGACTGTGGTTCTAGTCCTGGACCTGGCAGCTTGCTTTCTCACTTTCCTTCTCTCTCTCCCTGTCTCTCTCTGGTCAAATCGGATAATAATAATAACTAATAAAATTAAGTGATTCTTTAAAGAAAATCCAGCTGAGCTGGGATTTCCCAATATCCTCAGCCCCCTGGCCAGAAAGTTGGTTCACCTGGGACTGGGTTTTGCCAGTAACCTTTTTTTCATATGGCAGGAGAGGGCTGGATGAATAGGATCTCTTGGGACCAGCAGTTAGCATAATGGCGATGTCGCTGGACTCTCATGTAGTTGACCGCGGTTCACATCCTGGACCCGGTGGCTTAAAACTCACGCCGGGCCCATGTGTGCCCAAGATCCCAAGAGGAGAATGGAGGAGAAGGGATTGCGGCGTGGCCATCCCCCCTGGGGGGTGATTTCTCGCTGTCTGTCTCTCTGTATCTCTCTGTTTGTCTGGCGAGTGCACATGCCCTATAGTTTTATTTTTTAAAAAAAAATAGGATCTCTTGACTTGAGGACCATAATTGAATTATACCTACATTAATAGGTTTTCATTATTTTCCAGGTTGAACCCCATCGAGCCTACTTAATTCCTTGACCAGTTTTCCTCTTCTTCCTTCCTTTCTTTTTTTTTAGAGAGAGATTTTTGCTATAGGGCACATGCACTCACCAGAGAAACAGAGAAACAGAAACCAAGAAATTACCTTCCAGGGGGATGGCCATGCTGCAATCCCTTCTTCTCCATTCTCCTCTTGGGATTTTGGGCATGCACACACACATGCCCAGTGTGTCTCAGGCCACCAGGTCCGGGACTTGAACTACAGTCCACCATGTGGGAGTCCAATTATGTAACCATTACCCCATCTGCTGGTTCCACCTTGACCAGTTTTCTACATGGGGCAATTAAATTGTTTCCAATATTTTTCATTTATATTTTACTAAAGTTATTTTTATCATCAGAATCAGTTTTTGTGGATACAGTTATTCAACAAAGATGTGATTCATTGATCTGTTTTATTTTATCCCTAAACACATTTTTTGAGAGGTTTTTGCTATAGGGGTGCATGTGCTCACCAGAGAGACAGAGAGACAGAAAGCGAGAAATCACCCACCCCACCCCACCCCCGCGGAGATGGCCAAGCCACAATCCCTTCTCTTCCATTCTCCTCTCGGGATCTTGGGGGCACACACACACACACACACACACACACGTGCCCAGTGCAAGTTTAAGCTGCTGGATCCAGGACTCAAACTGCAGTCGACTACATGGGACCCCAGCGATGTAACTGTTTCGCCCTCTGCTGGTCCCGCCCAACACATTTTTAACAGGTTTCTTGAGATATAATTCACATACCATGCAATTTACTCATTTAAAGTATGCAATTTAGTGGTTTTTATTATATTCACAGAACTATGCGGCCATTACCACAATCTAAGTCCAGAATGTTTTCATTACCCCAAAAGAAATCCCACGCCTGTTAGCAGTCACCTCCCATCCTCCCTCTGCCCCCTGGCAACCACTAGTCAGTTCTCTGTCTCTATGGCTTTGCCTATTCTGAACATTTTATTACAACACATTTTACATATTACAGTTTCTGCTGTTGTGAGTTTCCTCTCATAGCTTTCTTTTCTTGTTGCTAAATCCAATCTTTCAGGGTTAAATGGCATAGATATAATATTAATAAAGAAGATTTGATTCCTTTGTCAATTTTTCACAAATAACAAGCCTCGCTATATGTAATTTTAGCATCTTGATTGCCTTTAATAAGTTTAATTTTCTCTAATTAACTTCTGCAGTTTTTATGATTTCCAATATGATAGGCTTTTTCCAGTCAGGTTTTCATCTATAATTAACTTTAAAAAAAAAAAGAATTATTTTATTTTATTTATTTTAATTTGATCAGAGAGGGACAGAGTGAGAGAGACAGAAAGTGAGAAAGTAAGCCACCAGGTCCAGGACTTGAACTGCAGTCAGCCATGTGGGAGTCCAGCGCCCTTAACCACCATGCCACCTGCTGGCTCCTATAATTAACTTTTTTTAAGAGATTTTTTTTTTTGCTATAGGGTGCATGTGCTCTTTGCAGAGACAGAGAGACAGAAAGCAAGAAACCACCCCCACACACACAGCGGGGGATGGCCATGCCATAATCCCTTCTCCTCTGTTCTCCTCTCAGGACTTTGGACACACATGTGCCCAGTGTGAGTTCCAAGCCACTGGGTCTGGGACTCGAACCTTGGTCAACTATTGGGAGTCCAGCAACAGAACCATTATGCCATCTGCTGGTCCCATCTATAATTAAATTTACTGTGAGCATTTTAAGCAATTGCCATTTTTAATTTTTTTAAGAATTTTGGCTTTAGGGCATGTGCATTCGCTGGAGAGAAACAGTGAGAGGGAAATTGAGAAATCATCCCCCCAAGGGATGGCCACTCCATAAACCCTTCTCTTTCAATCTTCTTCGGGGATCTTGAGCTTCCATGCACATGTGCCCGGCATGAGTTTTAAACCACCAGGTCCGGGACTCGAACTGCGGTCAGCCATGTGGGAGTCCAGCACCATAACCACTATGCCATCTGCCAGCCCCACAACTGTCACTTTTGTGTTAACTACTGTCCTTTTATGGACAATATTCCTTTTGAACAGGACAGAAGACACATGGCCTTTTTCATTTCTTAGCTGATCCATAAGGAAATAGTGGGCAACTCGCCTCCACTGTTGGAGGGTGGGATTCCAACCCATGTCCTTTCCACAATATCTGTTGTCTGCTGAGAATCAGGGCTCCAGGGACCTTCATAGGCAAAGCACCTAGCTCCCATTCTCCTCCCCAGCTCCTTTTCCTTTCCTCTTCCTTTTCAGACGTTAGCGCAGGGTGCCAGGTGCCTGGAGGTCACCGTGAAAACCAGCACTGCCCAGCCAAGAGTTTGGCCTGAGGCCTGAGGTAGGCCAGGCTTCTCCAAGCCAGCAAATGTGAGGAGGATGGGAGGGGGCTTGGGCTGCAGGCCCCCGCCAGCTCCTTCCTTCCTGGCAGGCAAACCAGCCAGCCACTTCCCCACTGAGTCCCCTCCCAAGGAAAACAGTCATTTTCTTTTTATTTTTTTAAGAATTATTTTTTATTTAATTTTATTCATTGTCATTATTTTATTTTTTTATTTTTTTGAAGTTGACCAGAGAGAGACAAAAAGAGAGAAGGAAAGTGAGAAAGCAAGCTGCCAGGTTCAGGACTCAAACCATGGTCAGCCATGTGGGAGTCCAGCCACCTTAACCACCATGCCACCTGCCGACCACAGAAATAGTCATTTTCTCTTAAGTCCTCTTTCCATTCTGTTAATCTTCCCATCCTTTGCACACACACAACACCCCAAACAGAGTTTCAAACAAGATTTCTATCCTGAGACCTGCCTCCTTCACTGGCTACCTAAAATGAGAGAATTGTCCACCTTCCCCCTTTCCTGCCCTGCCCCTGGAGCAAGGGCCCTCACTAGCTATAAAGATGCCAAAGAAGCCACCTCATTTTGCTAGAAGATTTAAAGTTTCTGAGGGGACAGGAAGCGTCCAGGAGTCAGTTACCCACAGGAGGGTATGGAAGAGCTCAGCGCCAGCCCGTCTGGTGAGCAGTGAAGACTGACAGTGTGATTAGCAGGAAT